ATTTGAGTTGAGACTCTATATAAATTCGAATATAATAACTTAAACTTGATTCGAAACTTCAATCAAACTAAAATCGACCTAAATTAAATCTTGATTGATATAGATATGTACTCAATTTAACTCGAATAGAAAATAACTCAAATAAAACATAACTTGAATCTAAAGCAATTTGAATTTAATTTGCCCAAATCTGATTCGATCTGAACATCGATTAGATTTGAACTTGATTCTACCGAAAATCAACATATATATATTGACTCGACACAAAAAATATATGATATGATATTGATCATAATAAAAAATGATCGATATGATATTAATCCAACATGATTCATAACTTACTCTAGATTCTAACTAAATCTAAACTCGAAATGACCCGATTGAAATCGAACTTAAACTGAATACAATTCAAACTTAAAATGACCCGATTGAACTAGAACTCAAACCAAATACAATCCAAACTAAAAAAATGACCTGAGTCAAACTCGATGTAAACCACCTGATTATCACCTTACGTACAAGCAATAATTTAAATGCTGAAATACAAACACAAATACAATTTATATTAATTTAAGTAGAGACTTTGTTATTTTCTATTATCAAGACAACACACCAAAAACTTTCACAAAACCACATTTCATTCCACAAATCTCTCTCTCTCTCTCTCTCTATGGTTGAAAATTTTGGCGACAAATATAGCTGAACTAATGAGCATATGCATGCATGCACGCTGGTGTTTACTTTTCCTAATGGCCATGCTGAAATTGGAAATATAGGTGCCTTTATGGATGAGTATTATGAAGTGGGAATCTGAGTGGTGGGGTTATTTTGGAGGTATGTACATTAACAGGACAGGCAATGGCCTTTTGTCCTGGATCCATGGCCCTACGGCGTGCCTTATATTTGTCCGCTTCCCACCTCTAAAACAATCACTCACTTTCCCTTGTGACTTGTGACCATCTCTTTTCCCTCCGTCAATCATTTCGTATCTCCTTCCATTTGTTCTTCTCAATTATTTATTATTCACTTATAATATGTAGGCTATACTACCAGATATCCTCATGGGTTGAGTTAGAAAAATTATTTTAGGATGTTAAATTTAAAAATTATATAAAGAAAAGTGGAAAGTTTGAATTTATTTTTTCCTTAAATATTTTTTTTAAAAATTAGGTCAATTTCTTTTTTAAAGATGTCAGAAACTTATTTAAAAAAGTGGCATTATATATATATATGGAAAAAAGATAATTTTAAAAATTTTTGGATTTGACACCCCTCAATAGTACTGGTTCCGCCACTCCCCCCCCCCAAAATCTAAAAGTAAAATATAGAGAGGAATAGGCCCAAAAGCCGAAAACAAAGCAAGGGTAAGCTCTAACCGTCTAAGCCCCAAAACTAGAATGTGGATCTGCCCAAATATAGGATAGTTTATCCAATTTGGACGGTCACAATAATTTTTTAACTCCGCTTAGTTTCTAAAATTATTTTATATTTTTCTATTTAAAAGTTATTCTTTTTATGCGTGAATCAAATGACTTAGTGAATAAAATTTTATTATTTCTTGAAATATCAGGTTCGAATACCATAAACGATAAGGGTGTGAGCGTCTAATATCAAATGATTAAAGAGTCATCTTTCAAAAGATATTACGTTATACATAACCTAGATTAATAAAAAAAAATATTTTAATTTTTTTAATGGTAATTGTTGACATATTTTAATATAGGTGGTAGAATAACCTAGGTTCAAGTTATATCTATGTCAGACTGTCTAATAAATAAAAGAAATAATCATTCAAATGTCTTTCTAATTATCGAGAAGCTAAGTTGTTACGACATTTCGAGTAATTATAATCGATTTATTTAAAAAAAATTTAGATATTCCCATATTAAAATTAATGATTGAATCATGAATTAAACTAAACGATTTTCATTAACTATAATAAATCACCACAACTCAGGATATCAAAACAAAAGTAGATTAACTCGATTAATACTAGAGTGAGTTACAACCCACAACATTAGAACGATAGATCTAATGTGTTCAATTATTAGGTCTCTTACATTTCCTTTACAATTATATCTGCTATATTAAATGTGTGAAATATAAATTTTATAAAATTTAAATCATACAGAAAAGTAAAACATTCACGTGCGTACAAATAAAAAGGATGGAAGAGAATTTGAGGCTAAATATTTTAAATAGACAACATAACATGCTCACGTTGGTTAAGAATTTAGACATATAAACGTTAATAGACGACGACATGTGGGTGATGCTGTCTTCCGTTTTTGACAAAAACGACGAGACCCAATTCACAATGCATGATCTAATCATCTAAAGTAGACGGGATTTTAATTTAAGATCAAATGCGTAAAATGTTATAAAAAAGTATATATTTTTATTAATATTAAATTAATGTGATTATAATATAATATTTATTTTAAACAATTTTAATTATCTGACAATGAATACTCAATCACCTTACTGCAGTCGACACGAAGATAATTTAATTTGTGTATTATAAAAATTATATATAAAAGTATTATAAATTTGCAACAATTTATGTGTTTGATAACATTTTGTCCATGTAAGCTGTAATGATATATGTATTCAATTTTTTTTCAGCATATAATATATCTTATTACATGCGATACTTTAAAGTGATTAAATATGTTATAGTTGAGTTAACAAAAGTTAATGACTTGTTGGTACCTTACAATTCTCTCTCGTGTTATCTTCTTAGTAGTTTAAACATTATATAAACATGTTTTTTAATAACTTTTTTGTAATTAAATATATAAAAATCAAATTAACCAAAGTGATGTAAACTATGTTCAGTATTTCCTTTTTATAATTAATACTCTTTGTTTTATTTTGAAACTCATACGATGGAGCTAAATATCATTTTACATAAAATTGGTTAGATTCATAAATTTAAAAATATTTGTATCGGTAAATTCATGTTAGATTTAGGATTAGTATATATTTACTTTGAAATTTATTTTTTTAAAGATGATTTTTTATTAATTGCCTATTTTATTGATTATGTCCATAATAAAATTTTATTTTATTTCAACGTTCAGATTGAATTTTTAGAGTTCATGTTTATAAATGGTTTTACATTCTATCGTCTTATAGTTTTTTTATTAAATTAAAATGATTATAAAATAATATTTATTCTAAATATTATCAACTTTTTAAAAGTAAATGTCCAACCATCCGTGCTATAATTACCGGTGTTTGAACTAGAAATCTCAACAAATAACAATAATTTGATTTGATTCGTACTATCACATGTTATAGTTTATATTAAAAATATATAAATGATCCAATGGTTTCAATACTTCCAATCTGTCTAGATGGTTTTATTCAAATCTCTTAAAATCACTTTTTGTTCTAAACATATTTAATAGATATAGTATGATTAAAAAAATAGTTAAGTGTTATTTTTAAGCGAGTTTGAGCAAATTAATCTTTAACCAAATATAAAAAAATTAATTAATTTTTGATCTAATTAATATTGATAGCCGACCATTTAATTAAAATAATTCAGTTTGGTTGACTAACTCGGTAAAAATTGAGAGGTGAACACTCCTATTCTCAATCCCTTCACTAGGTTTCAAGTTTGATCTTTCTTCGATCTAATGATAACATCACTAATTATGTAATGGTTTAAGCTCAAATTATACTAAAAGTTAATTTTAGACGTCTATTTTTTTGTTAAAAATAAGTGTCCAATGTTTTCAAAGTTACACTTCTAGATACTTAGACTGTAACATCGTTAAATTCAGCACATTTCACATTTATACAATTTTAATTTTTATATAAATTTAAAAACTTAAAACTATAATTTATTTAAAAACCCCAATTTTTTTATAAAATTATCAACCCAAAAATTTTAAAACCCTAATTTTAATCCATTTGCATAGTTGGCTGCCACAACACCATCAATCGATAAAAAATCCAACATGTTCGGTCGAAAACCACCCAACGACAAAAAATTCTTATTTTTCGTGACTGATCGAACAACCAACGACCATGCAAACAAAATTTTGTAATCGACTGATAGAGGTTCTCCACGTTGCGATGTCAATTTTCGCTATAATCATCGTGTGAAGTATAAGGGTTCAACTGGTGGAGGTTCGTGCAATCGCACACCATCGGAGGTTTTGGCCCATTGACAGTGTTATGGCGACTGACAGTGGTAAGAGATTGAAATCATGATTTTCCAGAATTTTAAGTTTTTTTTAATAATTTCATAGAATATAAAGTTTTTTTTAAAAGATAAATTTTATTTTTAAATTTTTTTAAATAAAATTTCATATGAATGATGTGTATCAAATAATGATTTTTTTAACGACCGTTTACAGTACAAACATATAAAAATATAACATTGAAAGCGTTAGTTACCTAAAAGTGTAACAAAAAAAATTTAGACGCCTATTTTGAACAAAAAAATATTTAGATACCTAAAATTAACTTTGAGTATATTTTAGACACTTATTTTATATAAAGTCTTATATAATTAAATTTATTGAATAAATTAAAATTAAAACCAAATAAGTTTAATACGTAAATAATGATGACAATAATAATAATATATTTACATTAATTTTAAATAATTAAATAATTTAATCAACAAAATTTAAAAGTTAATAATTAAAATAAAATCTATCGCAATTATATGATTAATTTGTATTAGTTTTTAAGTTATGAGGTTTAGTTTGGTAATTTACTTTGGTTTATCTTAAATACAAAGTACAACAAAATTAAGATGGAAATATTAAAGATAAATAAGCCCGTAGTACATCGTAGGTCTCCGTCGTATTTTGTTCTTCAATCCTTCTTTTATCGTCCTCGCCTCTTCTCTTCGGATGTGGATAAAACGACAAACAAATCGATTTCATGGCGCGTGAGGCACACATCAGATCAAATCTCCATAATCTCCTCCCATAATTTCCTACTTTACCCTTCTCCTTCTCAATCTTTCTAGTTGCCTCTGTAGCTCACATCCAATAATAGTGTTAGACGTGGTGTTAACGTGTGGAATCTTACCTTCCTTCCTTGATCACGCTTTCCAAGCCAACCAAAGTCTTTCCCTCTCAACAATTTTAGTTCCTTTCATTAAATACACAACAGTTTCATCTTCTTTTTGCCCCTATTTAATTTTTTTTTGTTATGAAGTTAGAAGACTTTTGTTGCTTCCTTCTTTTTCTCTCTTCCATTTTCATGGAATTCCTTTCTTCAAGCTTTATTTTCCCTTTTCTTTTTTAAATGTATATATATAATGTTTATTTTTTTGGCTATTAATGATATGTTTAGAAAAAAATCGTATATGTCAATTTTCAAGCTGTGGTTTGATGCAATTTGAAATTAAAACAGTGCTTAGAGCTTAATTTTGATGGGGAAACACGATGAAGGACGCTCTGTTTTTCCTTTAACCAGTCTCCAGATCGGGTATTCTTTATTTATTTTTACTGTTACTATCTGTATGCTTAATCTGAATAGGGTTTCAATATGTTGACTATTTTCATGGACTCGTATTGAGTGTTGTATACAGATGCATGTTTTTCCTATATTTTGAGACCATATTTCGATGCTCTTTTTCGGTATTTGCTTTTATTATTAGAAAACAAAAAAGTCGGTTAACATCTGCTTTAGGGAAAATATCTGAATCACAGAGCTATTTGTCAGTTTTTTTTTAAATTTTTTTTTGGCATTATACGATTTTTTTGTTTAATGTCTGATTGCAGAGACTTGCAGTCTTATCTTTCGGATCTTAGCCTTTTCTTGTCCCTTGAAAGTAACAAACTCTACATTTTGGTGGACAACCGGCCATGGCTCAGGGACTTAGATTCACGCCCAGCTCACTTGTGGCAATTAATGGTTACCAAGGTTGTTGAGAACACCTTTTTGTCTTTTGATCTTTTGAATGTATCTACACTTCTTTTTTTTCTTCTTTCTAAAAAAAGGTCAGTTCATTGTAAGAAGATTATAATGAATTTGAGTGATCTTATATCTATTTACCTTTTTCAGTCCAGGTTATCTCCTTTTGCTAACACCAAAGGTCGTAGGGAAAGAAAGGATGGAAAACAAGCTTCTTCCAAATCAAATGCTAAAGATGCCAAGAAGTTTGAAAGATGGTTCTCTTTGATTGATGCTGTAATGTTGTCTAGAAAGAGGATTTTGCTACCTGTTAAGAAGCTGAGAACCTCTTCTCTTCTTAGCAGCGAGCTGCATCAGACATTGTATGGCTTCATTGTATTTGAAGTTTCATGGTCCAATGTTCGAGGTCTTAACTACTTGAATGAACTTCAGGTATTTGTTTTTGTATGTGCTCAGTATAAATACGTACATATATATATATATATATATATATTTGTTTGTTTGTGATTCACCTTCAAGGTCTTGGTGTTCACAACTTTTCTTCGCATTTTCAGACGGATACCTCTCTAGCCGTAGAGGCTAAATTTATGCGAAGATGGGAATTTGACAGCATTGATCAAGCAGCAAATTGTATATCTTCATGGTTCTCTGGAACATTCTTGGAGCAGCAGCGTCTGATAGAATACCTGAATTTATCAACTGGTATGTTTTTTCCGTAATATTTCTTTATGATTCTCGAGTTGAACAGAGTTACCTGTTATGAAGTTAGAAATTCTAAACTAGAGATGCATGTTAGCAAGCAGTGGCGGATCCAGAAATAATTTTGAGGGTGGGCACACATATGTTAACTCAAAATTTTTGAATGGGGTGGGCACAAATAAAATTTCAGTGTGGGCACCATCAATAAAATAGGTAACTAATCAAAGAAAAATCGGATTTCAGGGTGGGCATGTGCCTCGGGATGCTTTGGATCCGCCACTGTTCGCAATAACATTAGTGTTCTTAATAGTAAAGAATACTTGATCACTTTATGTCTCACTGGGTGAAGCCTATAAATAATTTACAAAATACAATAAAGATAGACTGTTCAATGTGTATCTTGATAATTTTATGGCAAGTCAAATTCTATGTTTTTGGTAATATTAGCTCATAACTTCTCTTCTTTGCTCCACTGCATTCTCTGTTCCCTATCAAGGTGAAAGAGAGTTTGCTCATTTGTTCTTATTAGCTTCCCTATCATTTACTATGCTCTGTTCCCTTTGAACAAAAAAATATTGTTTTTTAAGGACAAATATATTGTTAATACCCAAAATTCCTAGCTGTTATGAGTTATACAAGGGCTAGACATAGACCAATATTAGGGAAACTAGAACGGAGGTTGAAACAGTTAGACCTATGGCTTCCAGTCCTACTGGTTGGACTTACTGGTGCAATATGGATATTTTAGTCTCATTTATATTGTTTAATGAGTGGTTAGCCTTCTAAAGGCTATCATGTGGTAAACTCACTTATATTGTTCAAAAGGTGTGGTTATATTGGAGATGATGTTCACTGCATGTCAATTTTTCTGTTTACCACATGATAACCCTTAGAAGCCTAACCATTTTCTCTCTATTTCCTCCCTATCAATACGATAATTTGCTTTGCTGATATAGTATTTAATCTGGATGATTTTTAGGAGACGTCTTCTTTGATGCTGAACAAGATTTTCCTAGGTCGATCCCTTTGAACGACGAAGAATATATCTGTGATAGTTACAGCATTGAGGAAAACTTCCTCCATGATCATTGTGGCAATTTCAGGCTACACCCTGCGACCATGGACTGCGAAACATTTGAGCCACACACTCCTCCTCCTACTGGACCTTATAAGCGAAGGAAAGTAACTAGGGCAATTAGTACTGGACGTGAAGTTGATGTCTATTGTGAGGAACGCCGAGAGCAAGCTAGAAACTTATTGGACAACTCTAACGAAAACATAGTCGAAGCTACAGAGTATTGGGATGTTCTTATTTTTTTTAGATTTGATGATAGAGATCTCCCATTTAAATTAAAGCAAATAATAATTCCTGATCTGAGGTTACTTCGTTTACTAGAAGCGGGTCTTCCATCTTGGGTCATCTTCCTTCAATCTTATCCTGGCTTCTGCCATACCTATCGCCCATGGATGTGCCCTCTTGCTCGAGCTTTATATGTTCTGATTTCATTCACTACTGTTTTAATAGGATTTTATGATTTGTACAAAAATGTCCCTGTTCTTAAAGCAACTGCTTCTCGTTTATGTGGGCCACTTTTTCATTGGATAGAAACCTGGGAGATGGTGTCAAGGATCAAGTACTTGGGAACTATGCTATTTCTACATAACTTTCAGAAGGCTGTTGAGTGGATTTTGACGGCTACAAGTGCTATTCGATCATTTTTCTCTTTTCTTTATTTGCCACTGGCAGAACCATTTATGGGGTTGTGGGACTTCCTTTTGCCAATTTGGAGTTTGTTGAGTGAACTATTGGAAAGCTTATTTTCATCCATATGGATTGTGATTAGTTTTCTATGCAGTCTAGTGGAGACTGTCATAGAGGTTCTACTGATGCCTATATGGTTTATTGGCTCAGTTCTCTGGAACATGGGTAAGTCATCAGATCGTTCCTTTAGCTATTTCCTTATTTAAGGGCTTGGATTTTAATATATTAATTTTTTTTCTTCTTATTTCATGCTACTACAGTGACTTCTGTCTTTTATCCTATATTTTTGGTTCTTTGGGAAATATTATATGCCCCAATACGCCTGGTCCTTTTCTTGGCCAGTTTTGTGGCTTCCGTGTCTGGCTTCATCTTTGATTTGGTTGGAGATATATGGAGGTCATTAAGTAGCATAATTCGACTTGCTTCTTCAGCTTCTGAAGCTACAGTAACCAGCACATATGAGGTCTCTGTATGGCGTTCACTCTGGAATGACCTTTTTTCCCAGGTTAGAAGACATCACTGTAACTTTATAAATGTCTTTATGTTTATTATACTTGATTTTTTTGGTCATTTTCAGGTTTTTCGTGCTGTCAGAAGTATATTAAATGGATTTGTTGCTTTCTTCACAGCCTGCAACAGACATCGCCTAAGGTTTATCACATTTTTTAATTTATCCTGATCTATTATATCAGATAATTAGTTCACTCTCTTTTAAATTTAACTAGAGAACGAGTGTTAGGCATTAAGCTTGAAGTATTATTGCCCGGGTTCCCCCAATTACCGTTCCATCTATGAGATGGTGTTTTTCACCATTCCTACTTAACTCATTAGATGGAGTGTTCTCCATTACATACATCCACGCATCCATATGTTTTTTAACTGTTTGTTCTTCATTACATACCTTGGGTTCAACTATGATGAGAATGAAAATATACCTTTGCAAATTTCCCTCATAGAGTAATCTGTTACCACCCTAAAAATTGCTTTGCAAGTCTTCCTTGCAAAATAAACTTTTAGAGTTCCCTATCACATGGGCTATTCATCAATATGGATATATTATTCTCCGATTAATTTCACCATATGATCGTTTTGATATACCAGTCCACACTATTCATTTGTGAGTTCTTTGGGATAATTCTCTTTTGATTGCTCTCAAACTTCTGACTTGTTTTCCCCTGATGATATACCATCTCCTGTTTGAACTAAGCTCAAGTGTATTGTCTTTGACATGGTCATTTTGGTTCTATGGTATACAGCATTTACAATCATGTACAAGATGTCATTCAAAGACACTTTGGTGGAGTCCCTGGATCACAAACCACGGATCCAAGACGAAGCAAATCAACCCATGGAAATCAATATCAAGTAAGCAATCATATAGTTGATATTTATTTAGTCTGGAGCTCTCATTTCCATATGCTATATTTGCATCATATGGCTGACATGAACTCTAAGTTACATTGACTCGAGTATCTGATTCCTATGCCCTATTATGTTTGATATGGGTACTTTAGGCATAAAAAAAGGAAGAGTCATGGTAACGTTGCATGAATTTTTACTTGCTGCTGATGCTAATGCTAATGCTAAGCACGTTGGATGTGTAGCATCTTAAGTCTTGTTTTTCATCACAGATTTTTACGGTGAGAAGGAGAAGAGTCCATAGTAGAAAAATGTAGTCCTCCGACTTTGCCATCGAGTTCAAAATATGCAAGATTGTATCCTTTCTCATAATCAAAACCAAACCAAAATAGTAATATCTATATAGGACCCTAAAGGCATAGGTTAAGACTTTTAGAGAGAATTTCATTCTTTTATTCCTTCTGTGTATTCATTCTACATGTTTAGCTTCTGGCGAATGTATATTATGTAAAGTTAGTTTGTATATTTTTATGTGAAAAAAGGGTTTGGAATTTAATCATGTTTTATTTAGGGATGATAAATGCTTTTTCGGACTTGATTCATACTGTTTGTTGTAGTGTTGAGTAATATGCCAATGTATTTGATTTCGTAACCTATGTTTAGGTTTTTGTAAACTGAAAAAGAACTCATCTTACGAGAAAGCTTTTCTAGTGCGACGACATACTGTCTTTTAAAATTAAAACGCAAAATATTGGAGTTAGACATGATGAATGTTTCAATTAAAACAAGAGAAGTAAAATCTATAATGGGAATGAAAATTAATTATTTTTTACAAATCTGATTTTAAATTTATTAAAATATAGAGTGTTTTTTTATTAATTTAGGGTGATCGTAAAAGCTGAAAACTCAAATATTTTACAGTTGTTATTGTTCGAATTTAAAAAGATAATAATTATCCTTTTAATTATTGAAATTGAAATTATTTGATTAATGTATTAAACCATGAAAGTTGAACATGATAGAACAGAAATGATGGGAATAACCACCTCAACCGTCTGCGGTTCCTCACAAAAAGCCTCTGCCCACAACGTGGAATTCTCCAAGAAAAAAAAATATTTTCTACATAAATATGAGGGAAGTTGGACGAAGAACAACGCATTTGCTGGGAAATTTGCACATGTAAGACGAGAAAAAATATTTCACCGTATAAAGTTTTCCTTGTCAAAGTCGCGTGAATTGTCAGGCGTCTTTAGTTTTCCCAAATAACATCCATGAAAATATAAAACAAAGAAAAAAGGTCAGTGATGGAGATAATACATTTTGATCCATGAGTCTTCCTCAAAAAAGTTGAAAAATGGTGTTCCCAGCCTCTTCTCTTATCATTATAATAATAACCTTAGTTTAAGAAATAATATGATAAAATACTACTCTGTCCGTCCTATACAAGATATTTATTATTGATTTTTGTTTTTTTTTAAATTTTGATTAATTATTATTTAAAATTATTATTGATAAAAATATATTAAAATATATTTTAAAAACCTTCAATTAATTAGTTTTTAAATATATATTTTACAAAATTTAATTATTTACAATATTTAAGATAATTAAAATTAAACTTTAAAAATTTTAATTTTTTAAAAATCAATAAGAGAAGTCTTTTATGAGACGGATGAAGTATGATAGAAGCCTTATATGAAAAATATTTTTTTTTGTAAGAAAAGAAAACCACTGCAGTCTCGGTGGTAGGTCTACATTCAGTATTAAAGATCTCCAAGCTTTCAGGTGGAGGGTGTTGGAATACCACCGTCTCAAACGACAAGGTGGGGCCGAGTCCCGCCATTTTGTCTGCAAGGCAGTTTGCCGTTTGGGGAATGTGTGTGAACCGAAGGTTCCAGTTCCTACACACACACACACATATATATATATCTTCTTATCCTGAGAACAACGGCCGAATCATGAGTAGTATTTGTGAAGTTAATGAGGCGAATAGCTGCTGCATTGTCCGTCTCCACCTCAAGCAAGCGAATTCCATGCTCCCAAACAAGGTGGAGGCCTGTAAGAATTGCTAAGAGTTCCGACTGCAGAATGTTGGTGCAGCCAATCTTCCTGGCGAAGCCTTTAACCTAGTCGCCATTGGTGCTCCGAATAACTCCCCCACTTGAGGCTCGCATCGACGAGGGATTGACGGCACCATCCGTATTAAGCTTGAAGAACCCTGGAGGTGGCAGTTTCCAAGTTGTCCGCATATTGGCCGAGGCACTGTGTGCTTTGCTTTGAATCGCTTTCATAACTGTCCCCGCCCAAGCTTTGGCCTCTTGAATTGTGTCCACTGCTGCCCGAACCTTCCGATGGAAAACAAACTCGTTCCGATTCTTCCATAACTTCCATATGATAATGCCAAATAAATGTCACCAATGCCAGGCTTCAGTCCGAATCCCGGCAAAGGTACAAAGATTTAGATTCAGCCAGTCCAGTAAAGTTAAAGAAGAAAATAAATGCATTTTAAGTTGATCCGGAATCAGTTGATCTCATGCTTGATAGCAGTCACGGAACACACGAAGCATAGTTTCTTCGGTAGAGCCGCAACTTGGACAGCTCGGATCGTCCGTAATCCCGCGCCTGTTCCGCTCAGCAGTGGTCATTAGCTTTGGTGTAACGCCGTCCAGAGTATTTGTTTGACGCCTTGGGGACCATCAAATTGCCAAGTCAGCTTCCAGCGGTTATCCGTAACAATATTATCATCATTCTGGAGCATTCGAAATGCCGAACGAACAATGTACTCGTTAACTTGGTCCAAACGCCGAACAGGTTTATCCGCCCAAACATCCTCTCTCAGGCACGGCATGTCCACTATCCATTGGAGCAAGTCCTCATCGAGGACATGACTGAGAAGCTCAATGTTCCAGCCTCCCTCGTTTGTAATGAAATCCCTTACGACAGCCTGGAGAAAGACAATCTGGTTCGGGGATACTAGCTCAGCAAGAATGTCCTGGTCTGGGATCCAAGCATCAAACCAGAAAAGAGCACGACCACCATCTCCTACGACTAGTCAATATTGCCGCAGATATGAGGCCAAATCCACGCCAAGGATTTCCAAATAAAGGACCCCTCCTCGCCTCAAGCGTATTCGGCACGGATTACTTGATTTTATACTTCGCGCGCATTATACTGGCCCAAAGAACCGGATTCGTCACAAAGCTATGCTCCCAACTTGATTAGGAACGCATCGTTCTGCATACATTCTCATGGGTGTTCAAAATTTCGGTTAACAGATTAAACCGACTGAATAAAAAAAAATCGGTTAATTGGTCGGTTAATTTTAAGTTCTAATGGTTAATTATTATTTTAAAGTTCGGTTATAGGTTAATCCGGTTCGAAATGAATGAATTAACTGAAATTTTTAAATATTTAAAATATTATTTATATATTAATAGCTTTAGGAGTGTTTAAATTTCGGTTTTAACCGAATCAATCGACCGGACAAACCGAAGTAGCCAAAAATATTAAATATTTAATATATGTTATTTAAAATTTTGGTTAACCAGGTTAACCGATTGATTAACCGAACTTTATTCGGTTAGGTTAATTATTTTTGAAGAGTTTTTAATTTAATTAACAATTAAAATGAAAAATATTTTAATTAATAAAATTTTAAAAGTTCGATTTAGTCAGTTAACCGAACCGACCGATTGAACATCATCCTTCTTGAGCAAACTTGCCCGTACTTGCTAAATTCCATATGCCCATTAAATGCCACTTACAAATTTCTAAGTCATCTTTGCCTACATTCCACTTCCCTCGACAATTAATTTAAGATAATTTTTAATCTAGATTATTATATTTAATCTAAAAGTTATATAAATTTATAATATTTTTAGTTGTAACTGAAAATATTACATTGAAGTAATTTTACTGTTTACAATTAAAAAAGTATATAAATTTAATAATTGAAAATATTAAAAAAAATATTATAGAGGAGATAACATTTTGGGTTCAACTTAAAATGTTATTCTATATAACCAAAATAGTCATATTCTTGATAATATTTTCAATTGTAATCAATTTATGTAGTTTTTTTAATATGGTAAACTATACCATTAACTACTTAATTATTACTTCTTTTCATTTTTACCACCAGTTTTGAAATTTTGTCAATCCGATCATCCAACTATTTAAATTCATTCAATCAAGCTACTAGTCGTTAATATTTAACAGAAGTGTTGACTACACAGTTAATAAAATAGGCACAATTACATATTTGATCCTTGATATTTATTCATTTTATTAATTTTTTTATAATTTTAATTTAATTTAATAAATTTAATCTCCAATAATCCCCTCATTTGTTAATAGTTCACAAGGTTTTGCATATAAGTTACTATAACTAATGGCAGAGGAAAAAAACTAACATGCTTTTAAAGGGATTCAAACTTGAGAATTTAAGATGGAGAGCAAACACCTTAGCAATTAAGCCAAGCCCTATACTATATTAAATTTACAATATTTTCTATGTATAATCATTAAATTGACTTTTTTAAGAAAATAAAAAAGTAATATTTAATCTTTTTTTTATAATTTCTTTATATATAATCATTAATTAATCTTTTCAATGTAATTAATAATTTTAATCCCTTAATTTTATATACTATTTATATTTATTTGGTCCCTCAATGTTTTTTTCTTTTTCCTAGTTGAATTAGTCATCTGGAGCTTCTGGGAACTCGGTATAATGATATGGTGAATCAATTCAACAAAAGCCAGAGGTTAGTGGTTTCGTTGACTAGCTATATGCTTTGTTGGAGGCTGTGCCTTTTCCCAAGATATGGCTTACCGTTTTGCAGGAAGTTCCAAGTCGAACCAAGATCGCAGGAGTCTTATTTCAGGAAAACTGCTGAACATGTTGGTTAATTTAATGATTACATTGAAAAGGTAGATTTAATGATTATATATAGAAAAATTATAAAAATTTAAATTTAAATCTTACTGTTTTTTATTTATTTAAATTTAATTTAATGATTATATAGAAAATATTTTAAATTTAACCAAATATAGGATTTGGTTTAATTGCTAAGGTGTTTACATTCCCTCTTAAATTCCTAATTTTGAAACTCTTTACGAGCATGTTAAATTCTTTTTTTTTCTTTGCTATTAGTTATAATAACTTGCATACAAAAAACTTTAAGCTATTAGCAGGTGAGGGGCTCAGGCTTCTCCTAGAGAAATTGTAGGTCGCTCGTTCATTTCCCCGTTGTAAATTAATTTTTCTCAATATTTTGTATCTAATAAAGTAGTGACACATGTTATCATATAATTAAAATACAAAATAAAATAATTTAAATTATTAAAGTAAAAAAATATGTTTTAATCACAGTGACATATATCACTATTTAATTGAAGATTAAATTTATTAATGTCACTATTTAATTGAAGATTAAATTTATTAAATTGAATTTAAATTATGGTCAAACTGACAATGTACATAAATATTGAAAATCAAATATTTAATTATACTTATTTTATTAACCTCATATCAATACTTTCATTAAATATTAACGGCATAACTTGATTAAATGAATTTAAATAATTAAATAATCTCAAAAAGATATAATATTATATTAATAAGTTGTATTTATTTATCTAACAATGTAGGGAGCTGCATTGGCTAAATGACTGAGTAAATGAGTAGGAAAAAATTCTCAGTATAATTCAATCATGGATTATTTTTTCATCTAGAGTGAATTATTACCAGCCCAAAGATATTAGATGTTTCATGCATCTTCAAACTTAAATATGAAGACTCCACGCTTCTTCATAATCATTTTTCCCTCGCGAGGAAGCCGAACTGCATGATGCTCTTACCGTTTCTCCCCTCAGTCGAGCAACCTGTTAGCTACTGGGGATGATCTTAGTGAAGAGGATCTGTTTTGGGTTGAAGAAGCCCCCGATCGTGGAAGCGCAAATGGCAGTGGGCTCTCGGTTTCTGGATCCTCCATAGCCCTTTCTGGTTCGAAGGTCTCGCTAGTTCTCCTTTTTCTTGCTGCGTCGTCCGTTTCATCATTTTTTCATCTGGGTTTGGCAGTTTGGTTCGAATGATTGGCTTCTCCTTTTGGTAAAGTGTGTTTTGAGCTGGGTTTATTTTCTTTCGGCTTTCCTTTTGTTGGGATGAGCTGGTTTCCACTAGTTGTGTTTTGGGTCCCGTGCTTTTATTATTTAGTTTTCTGTTTTGAGATTTTTTTTTATCTTTTATTGCTTATGTTTAATGAAGCTAAAGATTAATTCTAAAATATAATAATATCATTTATTATAATTACTGATATTTGAATTCGTGATGTGTAATAACAACAATTTTTAACTACTTCGTGCATAAGTTGTATTTTAGACTTCTACTGTTTCTTCGCAACTAAGCTTGTGTCTTTATAAAATGGATCCAAAGCTTTTCCAATCTGTTAGCTGAATTTGAAGAAGGTCTAAAACTGAAAATGGAAGCTGAATTTGAAAGGCGTTGCGAAGGAGGAGGCCAGGATCCAAGATCAATTGTAACAATATCCACACCTCCGCCATCATCAAGACTATCTGAAAGAAAGCTCAAAGACAAATGCTTTAGGTGCGGGAATCAAGGTCACTGGGCACAAGATTGCCGTTCCACCACTACCCCGACAAAGAATGCTTCGTCTCACCCCTCCACTCCTCCGCCGGACGCCCACCACTTCCCCGTGCTGCGTTGCCATTGCGGCGTCGCTTGCACGCTTTGTGTTTCCCGCCGCGACGTCAGTCTTGGCAGAAGGTATTATGCTCGCAAGTGCGACTGCGGTGCTGCCAAGGGGAGCTGGTCGGGTCCGAATTTTTACAAATGGTGCGAGGATGTCAAGGCACCTCTGTGCAGGTGCGGCGCCGGAGCATGCACGATCAATTTCCTGGAAGACAGCTACGGGAACTATGTTAAGTACTATACATGCCGTATTAGAACGGTATGCTCATTTCTCTCCATCTTTTCCTCCATTTTGGAGACTGGGTGGGCTTGATCTTGTTAGAATTTTCATTCTTTTTAGATCCATATCTCTGTTTAGTTCCAAAGTTTTGTTAATAGAATTGGGTAAATTTGGTTGTTTTTATTGGCGTTATTATATTAAAAAATCCCTTTAATTTTTTAAAAAAAGTAACCTCAAACTGTCTATATTCTATATTAAATTATTTTATCTGAAAAAATTGATGGTTTTAGGTCTTATAAAACGTGATATAATTAAACGCGTTTTATAAGATTTGAAATAGTCTTTCGTTGGTTGTTTTTTTAATTAATCTGACATGAGGGTTATTTTAAAAAAATAATTACTGGAGGTTTTTAATATAATAACGCCATTTTTATCGCCATGTTTCTGTTTAGCAACTGTGTCGTTTGAAGCACTCCAATAGAAGATCTGGGGATCGAGGATGAATGTCAACTAAACTAATTCTCTTTGTTAGAAATGATGACATTTAAGTTTTTTTTTTAATTTGTTCTTGGGTGATGAACTTTTTCTTTTTCCCTATTTTTTATACCCACAATTAAATTAAACTACATTGTTTTGTAATATGCGTGGGAATGCAATTTTGGTTTTCTGGAACAAGATTTTTGGTTCTCATGCTTTGATCTTAAAAAATCAGATGATGCTAAATCGAGATTCTCCATGACTGTCAATCTGTCATTTCATATAAATGAACATTAATATTAACTCAGAGAATCTCAGGCATGGCATTTTTAGTTGTATTTATCTATTTGAATAATGCTGACCATGGCATTTGTTGTTCTTTCTTATTGTCTTGAGATTGATCAACATATTAGGAATGCTAGTTAACTATTTATCATATTGTTTTGCATTTCCGATTGATCATTGCTGGAACTGTTCACTGGAGTCTAATAATGATTATTACATAGGGGCATGGATCGTGTGGTTTCTTGCTGTTTGAAAGTTTTCCAAGTTCATTGCCAAGGTCTGTGGAGATAGATAAAGGACAATCAATATCGAGTCCGCAGAATGGGGAGCCACCACATATCAGTAGTTGCGAGGATGAATGTTCCGTACCCAGTTCTTCGACCAGAAACATTTCTATTCATGAAGTCGAGACGAGCGATTTTGCGGTAGGGAAAGGGCACCGTATTTCCTGTCCAATGTCTTGGTCTGATATCCCTTCCCGTCAAAAAGAGTTCCAGAATCAGATGTCTGCTGCTGGGAATTCATCAAATGGATGTAGGCATCATTGGCAGGGTTTTTCTTTGTGTGTTTTTCAATTGTTGCTTTATGATGTTATGCATTGCAGCTGTTTCATTCTTCATTCGTTGATTTCGCTGCATCTGCTTCTGCAATCAGGTAAAAGTTTCCGGTTTTGATGACAGGTAAAGCTCTTCGAATCATGGGTCGCTGTGTTCATGGTTGGGCTGGAAGGCTTGCTTTCCCTCCTCGGGTCTTAGCAGCAGATCCTCCTCTTCAGCATTTCTTTCGCTGTAAGTACGATTATAGACATGAATTCTATTGTTTCTTCAAAGCCGCTAGTTAAAAATTATAACTCTAGTTTTTTTTTATACTTTTCAACAGGTATATTACCTTTGTTTGATCCAATTGTAGTTTCTGATTATGCCAATATATCTGTTGGTGGAAGTTCAAGCATAATCCCTCGTGCTTATTCAAATGCTGAAGTTGATGAAGAATCACAAAATGCGCTTGGGCACGATACTCAACTACTGACTGTTTCTTTAGGGACTTCAAGCCGAAAAAGATCGTTTTCTTTTATGCAAGACGGTGTAGACAATCCGGTATGGAAGAAAGTTGGAAAGCATCTGCCGAAAGACCTCAGTCTTCTGGTGTCAACGGATCCATCTGATCATAGTACCATATTTCTGACAGCGAATGATACTTTTGTTGATTTGGCTAGTCCGTCTATTGAGTTCAAACATTCCGCTGGGTGTTCAACGAAGTCTAATCGGTGTGTATCAAGAGTAGCGGGGACGGAGTTAGCTCTCCAAAAGAGCTGCAATCAGCAGGAGCCAACCATCCTGCAAAATATTGAACCAGTCGCTCAATTGGCTTCTCATTTTAAGGAAACGCTTCATCAAATTGGGGAACTTGAAACTTTTCTTCTAAATATTGCCAAGGATTTGGGGCAGTCGATGAGAAGTATGCAGGCTACGTACCAAGAGCTGACGAAAGCTTTGAAACTTCCAGAGGCCGAAGTCGAGCAATGCATGGCGGGTACAACAGTAGATCAGGTAAGAATTCACCTTAAGCTCAATATCTATGTTATTCGGACTTGCATACGAGTGTTGTTTATAGATATGTATTCGACACAGGTTTTTTTTTTTTTTTTTTTTAATTTCTTACATGTGTTTGGAGGGTTCTTGGAGGTAGGGGTGTGTACCCGAAATTTTCAGGTCGGTGATTTCTCGGTCCCTGTCTCGACTTAGATGTTACCGGGTACCCGTATTTTGCGGGTACTCGGTACCCGATTTTTTTATTTTTAAATTATTAATTTAAAAAATATATATATAAATTTAAATGTTCAAAACTTCGAATTACATACTCTAATATTCGAACATAAAATTTAAAAGTTCGAAATACAAAATCTAATAATCCATAATATAAATAATTCATTATATTATATTATATATATATATATATATAAACTAACCGGGTACTCGAAAAAACTAAATTTTGTGACCCGGGCCCGATCCGAAAAATGCCGGGCTGGGTACCCGACCCGATCAGATAAATTTTTTAAAAAATTACCCGATTTTTTTAGGTCCGGATCGGCAAGTCGACGGATCTGGTAGTTTTATATACCCCTACTTGGAGGGTCAATACTTACTCCTTGGATATATGTCATACATGTTGTTCTCTTTAGAGGGTGTAAGTTCGAACAACTGCTTCTGTAGGGTGTGTATGATGTCAAATAATTTAAGATAAATTTTAAACACATATTACCTTATAATCGTCCCATAGTAGTCGCACATTTAATTTTTTTTTGAAATTGACAGAGTTTATATGTGCATTTAGACATGCTCAGCAGGAAGGAAGAGACAGAGGATGGTAGAGCTACCTAATGGATCAGAGTGATGTAAGACGGCAGGAAAAAGTGCAGAAAGCAAAGCTTGTTTAGATTAGAGGACAGAAAATAAAAGATGCATATAGTGCAGTTATATTTTGTCATCCATGAGATTCTTAATTTTGACCAAATAATTATATATCATTAAATTATGTACACGTTTTAATTAAACACAAACTATAATAGTCTGGTTCAATTCGAAGTTTGAGTCCACCGTTGATTTGATCTCTTTTCATTGCCTGAGGTGCTGTGTTAGGTGGTTGCTATGTACTCTGGATTGGTTCGATTTTTTTTCATTGTAGAAGATGCATAATTTTATGTTTCAAGAGATAAATTTATTAAATTTTAATGGACGGATAAATTATCAATAACAATATATAAAATTTTAAAATTTTCAAGACAATCATTCATCTCAACCCTCTGGATCCATCCTTGAAGAACATATATTGCATTGTTATTATATGTTGAATGAGTATAATAGAATAATATTTAGTATTTTTTTAAGAAGCAACTAATTTTATTTCAAATAATAAATATCTCAAATTATAATAAAAATTTATAATCACAATCGTAAATTAAACACAAATTAGGAAAAAAAATTATAATCATTGAAACAAAACTAACAACTTAAGATCACATAAGTAGCATACTGATAAAGATTAAATCTAATCAAGAAACTCGAACAAAGATAGATACAAACATATCTGATCGCATCAGCAAACTAATCACAAAAGGATATCAAGCTATTGAAAGACCACCGACAAACCGTAAATCAGACTCGAGCGACGTGAAAAACTATCCACGAATGCAAATCAGGTATCCAAATCCAATCTGAGTGTCAAAAGTAGGGAAGATCACAAGATATCAGATAAACGTTATCTTGATCAGTCGCGGCGATGTCAAATCAACCATTAGAAAAAATATAAATGAAAAAACGGCCAAAGAACCGAAAAACATGTCAAAAAGCATAAGAAAATGTAAGGCAGATGAAAATGAACAACATAGGCAGACTTATTGAAAATAAAAAAAACAAAAGAAAATAAAGATATAATATAAAAAAGAAAAAGACAATAAAGAATATCGATGGTTGGCAACCAACATTAAAATTGATGCCGAAGCAGATCAACAAAGATGGAAAAGAAAAGAGACGAACAACACACCAATAAGAAAAAACTTAAAAATATTCAATGTTTTAGTGTGAGTAAGATGTAGACAAACACATATTATGTTTTAACCCCAAAAAAACAAATATTATGTTTAAATAAAAACGAAATTGATCATATATTATATTTATGAGATCAATTAAAAAAATGAAAAAAAATATCAGTGATCAATCATGCAATTAAAATTTTAAAAATGATTACATTAAATTATTACTACTAAACCACTATAATTTTTAGTAGAGTATAATTTCAAATTTTATATAATTTTTGTAAAGGATAATTGATACGTTTAATATAATAACTAAAAATATCTACAAATTTGTATAAACACTAACAGAGGATACAAATTTCTTTAATATTTTTACGTATTTACTAAAACATTAATTATGTATTAATCCTAATTTCCTTTAAATTTAAAATTTCAATTTGGACTAGTAAATAACCTAGACGTTGATAGCTTCTGCCCAACGTGGACCAAAAAGAGAAAAACAGATAATTGAAGATGGAGATGATTGAAGCTTTATATAAACCATCTCCGGAAGGAATGGTTGATGATGGTATTATCAGGTAATCTAATAAAACCATATCTTGAAACTCCATGCGTAGTGACTTCTCTGTTTTAGCTTTAAGGGCTTTGATATCCATTACTAAAGTATTCCACAATGGTTCTGATTTATTTTTTGCATGATTTGAAAGAACTTCTATCTATTGACAACCCCCAGATGAATATCAGTCAAATAAACAGTTTTTTACCCATCTCTGAAGTTGTTCCACAATGGTTCTTATTTTTTACCAAAACAGATTATTGTCTTCAGGTATGTACACTTAAGCGTATAGATTTTCAGTCATTGTATCACATTATTGTTTTGAATATGAGTGACATAGTTTGAATTTAAATTAATCACCGCCCTTAACTGGTTTTTTTAAAGGAAAATTGGATATAATCCCCTCCCACACAAAAACTGAACCAATCATATTCAGTTTGCTTAAACAATTTGATTACTTATCACTGAATTGCCTAAATAATTATTTTTAATTTTGAATGCCAGAATGAATAGTCTTACAATGCATTAACATGTTATGTTTGTTGATGCGCCATTAATACACAATTTTTATTATGAGTTGATGATACCAACAGTTTGTATATAGCCTTCCCTTTGTCTTTTACTCATTGTTTTCAGAATTACTTTCTTAACACTTAATTGCCTAAATAATTAATTTTTATTTAGGGATGGAGTAAGTGAATCACAGTTTAGCCAAGTATTGAACATTGAGCTGGAGCAAATCATCAAGGTAATAGACCAACATCACCCTGGGGAAGGGATACACGTTCTTTGATGTTTCTAATAACCTGTGAGAAGTACCTTTGTCCTTCTATTTTGTCCAACTCTTCTATGTTATCATATTCTGCAAAGGCTTAGTTGAGGACCTCTTCTTTTCTTGGTAGTAGTTAATTCTTAGATGGTTACACTTCCTTTATACAGGCATATCAGCTTCTGGGTGATTCTGATGTTCCGAAATTCACAGTGATAGTTGCGCGGAAGAATCATCATACTAAATTATTCCAAGCTAATGCCCCCGAAAATGTTCCACCAGGTTTGCTGCTCCTGATACTTCATTTTCCTCTTTAGTTGATTCACCGACTCTCTCCCCAAATTGTGCATCCAAGAAACTATGATTTCTACATGTGTGCTCATGCTGGGATGATTGTAAGCGTTAATGTTACTAAGAAAAGTCTCTTGAATCTCATGACGTTATGAAAGGATCTTTTATTGATTAATGGTTACTCTGCCGATGCATTGTTTCATCTCTAACAGGGAACATCAAGGCCAGCTCACTGCCATGTCTTGCTAGATGAGATAGGTTTCTCTCCTAATGACTTGCAGAATCTCATCCATGCTCTTTCCTACGTGTAAGTTTTCGATATGCCATATTTAATGTCGTTGAAATGTACCAAATGTTTTTAATCATTTATTTTTCTGCAAATGCAGATACCAAAGGATCACGACAGCTATTTCGATAGGTAATTTCGCGTACCGTCCACCCCGGTTTCACATTCAGCAAGTCATTTGTTTGTATGAATCACCATAATGGTCATTCTCATTATTGTTTCCCTTTGTCCGGTGGCTCTTATTTGTTACGCTCACCATGCCGCACATCAAGTGGATCAATTTTTGAAGTTTGATGAACTTTCAGAAACATCTTCAGGAAACGTAACATCGGCAGGAAGTATCATTGTTCCAGACCTCCCTCGGCTGAAAAAGAATGTGGCAGTCTCAATGTTCTTCTGTTGACAAGCTGCTGTTAAATTCTACGATTCTAGGCTAACTGTTGATAGTTTTGGCTAGGCTAGGGTATACAATCATAGAAGGTACGTGTGGAATTGTTTTTTAAGTTAATTATATAATAGATTTAATTTTTTTGGTTAATAATTTAACCCACTTATATAATTGGATTAACACGATTTAATAAAAAAATGTTGATTCAATACTTTTACTTGACACGTGTGTTTTACACCTTAAAAAGTATAGTTCGATTAACAACAATTTTTATTATTAAACGTTAACTTATTGTAAAAAGAGGGAAAATTATCGAGCTTACTATGAATTGGTAAGTTCTTTAATTGATTCAGCAATGAATGACAATTTACTGTATGGTTTTAAAAGCAATACTTTTGTAAGTAGGAAACAAAGTTAAATTTACCAATTCAAAGAAAACTAGATGGTTCATACTATTTTTACAATAAATAATTATAACACACACATATATATATATTTGGTTCCCATATGTTTCCTAATATTTTGTCTTAGAATAATCTGGATCAACGTGAGCCATACACCCGATTTTGATGAATGAGTCTCCCAACGGATATTTTCTCCCAGCTCAAAGCGATATTAAGCTACTTACTAATCAAATCCATTGGTAAAAGTAACATTTATGTTAATGTATCATAATGTTGAATATACATTATTAATATTATTTGAAATATTAAAATTAATATTATAATATTTGAAAAAAACACAAATAAAAAATTTCCTAAATATTATTTTTTGCGATTTTCTGTTCCTCCTTTTTCGTAAAAAAAAAAAACTTTTGAAAATCAGAACATAAAATTGCCAACTCTACCTTATGACCAGCTCAAAGGTGAAGGCAACAAATTTATATAAATATTAATTACTACTCTTTATGAATGGTAAACTCAAAGCAGAAAACACTTTGGATTCATCACGATCCCATCAAAACAGTCAATTAATCGTTGTTGCTTCCATCATTTCATAAAACCAACCAAAAAGGAGAAAAAAGAAGGCAATGGCCGTGACAAGAAGAACGATTGTTCTCATCTTCGTAACACTGATCCTCGGCTCGTTCTTGGTTCAATCCTGCAATGGCCAAAGTTGCAGCATTGCGAATCCTGACGATAACAAACAACGATCGTGCATGGATGTACCGGAGGACGAAGACGATTTTGACGATACTTACGAGATCGTCGGCAATAAGAAAATCCCGTCCGCGATGATCATCGGAAAATAACTGGATGGCCTGCTGCAGATTTCTACGTTCCAAGCTTTTGTAGAAGCTCCCATGGTTCTAAAAGTTGGCATTTTCTGCTTCTTTAGTTCCTCTGTTTGCTCGTTTCTGTTTTTCGATTCGTTTATGCGTTAAATTAGATTTGTAGATTTTTTAAAATAAAATCAAATAAAAGTGAGCCTTTGGTTAGACCGAAAATAAAAGAAGGAAACATTGTAAGAAGACTAAATGTTAAGGGACCAATTGAGTAACTAACTAATTAAGACAAATCAAGCTGATTTCCTCTTAATTTTGGTGAGGTCAGCGGTGAGATATTATGGTTGGGGACGAAGGCCACCCGATTCCGCTTCATTTTTCTATTGTTTTCTTCTTCGTCTTCTTCTCCCTTGAGCTCGAAGCTCAAGTCTAAGCTTTTGCTGGTGATATTTCAGCGCAAAAAAAAAAAAAAAGGTAAGAACTATGTCCATAAAATTATTAGCTTAAAAATGGGATAACTATCACTCATTTTTTGAGACGTGAACTTGGAAATGATTAGAAAGGAGCTTGGGTTTGAGGCAAATCTAAGAATATTTAGAGCTTGTTTATGTTTCTAAATTCGTCTTTAATGTTTATATTGTCATTCTAAATGATCGGAACTTTCTCTGTTTATTGTTTGATTAGTGAAGGATAAAAGAAAAATCTCTAGTGTTAGAGGTAAGGAGACGATTAGAAGAAATTGAACAAGGCGCCTTCATTTAGTGTTTTTGAGTTAAAGTAGTGTATTTTTGATATATCATAAATGTGATGCTTTGTGTGTAGTATATAGTTTGTTGAGTTATGCATGTTTAGTGGCCAAATTAATGATTTTGATGTTAAACTTATTTTTAATTTATGTTAAATGAATTTATAGTAGCCCATTAGATTCTATAAATAGAGTATGACCTAAAATATAATTTATTTGAGGTAATTTCTAGTCTAAAATATTTTTTTAAAAACATAATATATAAAATGGTTTCGAGGCAACATTTTAATCTAAAATAATCACTTTTGAGTTTTGGTATATATGAGTAAATTATATCAAAATTCAAGAGTATCATAGTCTATGTTTAAAGTATCGACAATGTTCTTTTTGTATGGATACTAAACTTTGGTATCGATATCATTAATAACATTGAGGTTTTGATATGTAAATTTGATTAGGGACAGAGGTAATAATTTATGTCAGGGGTATAAACACAAAAGATTATATTAAAATTTTAGGGGTACAAAATTATAAAATTTCAAGAGGTGCGAAATTACATAATTCATATAAAATACAAAAAACATCTATAATATAAGAAAATTTTAAACTTCTAAGAGTTACCCTAACACCTTCTGAATTCATCCCTGAATTTGGTATTCGGTATCGATACTGTCCAATAATACAAATATTATAAGGTCGAGTATAAATAATCCTTGCATAGTATCGATATGAAAAGACTAATCCTAGAACCGCACAAAGATGATATATTTATAAAAAAAAATATTATTCAGGTAGAACGTTAATGTTGTCGTCCTGATAAAGTACCTGTTGAATGTTATCTTCCATGGGAACAGTTGGGATTTCGTTATGCAGAGAGAAGAAGATGAATCCAGCTCAGAACGTTGTAATTTCTTCATATTCGGTTTCTTTTTTTTTCTGGTCATTCAAATAAATAACTAAAAGAATTTTTTTTTTTTTTATAGAAAATCTTGTTTCATTTTGTTTTTTTTCCCTCTCTCTCTTATAGCGGAGAAAAGAAGAAGAAAAAAGTAGTCTGCGCTTTGCTTTGCTTTGCTTGCTTTATTTTATTTTATTTTATTTTCAGCTATCGGGTATTTGAAAAAATAAAAAATTGATTTTTTTCCCGTTTGTTTTATTGAATATATGAATGGGAAAAGATTGATAGCCATCCAAATGTGTGAGAGCGTTGTCCTCTGGTATCCAAACTTGTTGCTTTAAATCAAACCCATTTGAAAGAGTTTGAATTTCTGAGCTTGGAAGCTCCAATAAATTGACCATTTTTCACGGTTTCAAAATTTGTAGTTTTATCCCATCTCTGACACGGCCCTTATAACCCATTTCTTCTTTTCTCTCGATCCATCCATCATCGAAAAAAGAAGGGGAAAATGTCTGGTGCCCAAAGCAAAAGGGTCATTCCCTTGGATTGGCAGGCACAATTCCCCATCTTAAGGCAAAGCATCCACGCCAGGAGAGCAAACATTATTGTCAAATTTCAAGACCTTTATGGGTTCACAGTGGAAGGCAATGTGGATGATGTGAATGTGTTGAATGAGGTGAGAGAAAAGGTGAGGCAACAAGGGCGTGTCTGGTGGGCACTCGAAGCAAGCAAAGGGGCTAATTGGTATTTGAAGCCGCAGGTTTCTTCCGGGATTGGATTGAAATCTTCACTCAAGTTGTCAGGTTTTGTTAATGCCATTGCATTGAAGAAACTTATTAGGAAAGGTATTCCGCCTGTGCTTAGGCCTAAGGTTTGGTTTTCACTATCCGGCGCCGTCAAGAAGAAGTCGTCGGCTCCTGAAAGCTATTATAATGATTTGTTGAAGGCCGTTGAAGGTATGGACACGCCCGCAACTCGCCAGATTGATCACGTG